CAAATTTTACCATTTTTTTTCATTTTTGCCTATTATCTCGAAAAGTATAATAGATAGAGAGAAACTTTAAAGTGCAAAATTGATCAGCAAGACAAGATCTATAAATAAGTCTGCATGGTCGAAATCGTCGGTCGACTCCTAGAGTTATTGATTTTTGATGACGATTTTTTCCAATTTTTTGCGTTTTTTGTCTTATATCTTAAAAATTAAAATAGATAGATAGAAACTTAAATAAGCAAAAATGATCAGCAAGACAAGATCTACAATTAAGACAATATGGAGGACATCTCATTATTGGAGTTATTGCCCTTTAATGACGATTTTTACCATTTTTTGCGTTTTACCTTATATAATAAAAATTTAAATAGATAAATAGACATTTTAAATCACAAAAATGATCAGCAGGGCAAGATCTACTAACAAGTCAAATTGTGCCGATATAGTTAGTAGACTGTCACTCTTTTTAGGAGTGATTGCCCATAAATGAGGATTTTTTTTTACCCTCTTTTGTTTTTTGAGCAAAAATTAAAGAAGATAGAGAGAAACTAAATAGACTAAATGATCAGCAATACAAGATCAACATAACAGAGATTTTTGTCTTGAATTCTATTCTCGTCTACAATGTTGGAGAGTGTCCTTTGTTGAAAATGCAAATAGACCAAGGTGAGCGACACAGGCTCTTTAGAGCCTCTAGTTTATTTAGATCATGAATTCTCTACTTACCCTCCAGGAGCACCTGATATCACCCCCGGTTTTTGGTTGGGTTCGTGGTTGCTCAGTCTTTAGTTTTCTATACATATGTTGTGTTTTGTTTACAGTTGTTTGTCTGTTTGTCTTTTTCGCTTTTTGCCATGGTGTTGTCGGTTTGTTTTCGACTTATGAGTTTGAGTGCCCCCTTGATATCTTTTGCCTATCTTCTCTGTAAAACAAAAATCCGATTTTTTTCTAAATGTAAAAATGGTGATGATAAGTTGATTTAAATCTTACTAAATCAATTAACATTAATAGTGACTGGTGTCACTTTTTAGATCTTTAAATTTAAGAATTGAATGCTTCTATTTTTTGGTGTAAGGCGTTGACCGAAGCACATTTTGTATGATACGCGGAAAATTACAACTTGATGCTATAACCATCAAATTAAGAGTTGTATCAAGCTTTTCGTTTGTTTTTCTAGCCATTGTTTTAACAATGTCACGGATTGCACGTGAAGTCATAGCTGTTGTATTTCATATAGGAATTGGATACTACTTTTTGTTATTTTATTTTGTAATTTTTTTGGGGTGTAAAAGTGTTAACCGAAGCATACTTTGTATGAAGTGCGGATGCGCTTCTTACTATATGTACGCATGATCAACGCTTTTACAACCCTATAGAATTACAAAAAAGGCATTATTTTTTATGAGTACATTTTTATGCAACAACTATCAAATTATGAGTTATTCCAAGCTTTTCGTTCGTTTTCCTATGAATTGGTGTGAAATTGTCGTAAGAAGCACGTGCCATCATGAATATGAATTTTATTGAGAAAAACAAATCAATATTTTAATGCCTCGCGATTGCTTTCAGTCATTCAAAAATACGGATTTTTATGAAACATAAACATGTAATGTAATTATACGGAAATGAAATATGCCTTTGGAGTACCAGCTTCGCAATTGTTGTCAGCCAATCATTATAACGGATTCTTATGCAATATACATGTAATGTAATTATTATAATTTTAACATGGTAATACCCTTACCCAAGTCTATATTAGACGACTTTATCTTTTCCATTGTTAATTTTCTTTTTCCATGATGTTTTCCTTTGACTCCCTCTTATGGAGTGTATATTTCTCAGATGGTTTGATATGCTCGTGTATTGCAAGGTAGTATTTCCATTACTAGACATTTCCAGCAGGGATATAGATATCATGATTGGTTCAAAACTTCACTACATTTTATCACTAAGATAAAGATTTATTTGTGGAGGTATGATTCCAAGTTAAGCAATTGATAAAAAGTGGTATTTCACTTCATACTTTGTTTAATAAAGCTTTCGAATTTAGGAATGGTCTTTCATATCTGTGTCATATCTGATGATAACAATGATGATGATGATGATGATGATGATGTATTGCTGTTTAAGTGTATTTGAAAATCAAATGCAGGACGCGAATATGTTAATGTGATATGAATATAAACCCTACTTTGTACTAGACCAACACGCTGAGCCGGATTTGTAACGTGGTAGTTCACAGTCCGCAGGAAAACATGTCACCTTAGCCGGACACATTAGTCTGACTCCGAGCCGACCAGTCTATGCTCTTATTCCTAAATACCGGTTGCTTAACGAAGAAGCAGCAAATACCAATTTTAAAGTCTTTGGTTTGACCCGGTCAGGGTTTGAACCCACGACCTCCCGAACTCGAGGCGAGTACGCTAACACGACACCACCGAGGCGGATCTTTGGTTGTTTCTGTTTAATTGATCTTTTAAAACAGTTTGATCAACGTAACAATCCAGCAAGGCTTTATACAGAACACCTAAATGAAATTTTGTCTAAAACTGTTTCTGCTCAGGAAGTTCAATGAAATGAAAATGAAAAATTAGGTAAATATGGTTTAAACAGATGGAACTCTTAGCGTTTTTAAATCTATAATTTTATCCATATTGTTTACAACAGTATGAAGGTATGCTAACTTAAGTATTTATAAAACAGTTTGATTCCAGAAAAGCGTTTCATTGCCTGATAATCACTACAGCCTCTTTTACTACTGGTCCGAAAAAGTTGAATATATCTGTAAAACTTATATTTTTGGAGTAGAATTTCAAAAAGTAAAATAACAAAAATACCGAACTCCAAGGAAAATTCAAATCGGAAAGTCCCTTATCAAATGGCAAAATCAAAAGCTCAAACACATTAAACGAATGGAAAACAACTGTCATATTCCTGACTTGGTACAGGTATTTCCTTGTGTAGAAAATGGTGGATTAAACCTGGTTTTATAGCTAAATAAACCTCTCACTTGTATGCATTCGCATAGAATTCCATTAAATTGACAACAATGTGAAAACCTATTATATGATTTTGTAATAAAGCATATGAAAAGAATGGAATTAAGTATTTTTCAGTTGTAAAAAGCTTTGAATGTTTAACATTAATTACATGCTTTAAATGGTTCTTTCATTTCCGTAGACACTACACTTTCAAACAATCTTAAGAAACAGAAGGTTTCTTATTTAATCAAACGGTCCTTCGAAAAAAACAAATCTGATAGCAAATATATTTACTGCAATTTTTCTCCTTTACAACATCTATGCATGTTTAGGTAACTTATAAAGTTCAGCGACGGGTTGTAAGTACTATGTATTCATATGGACACCGAGTGCGCTCCTTTTAGCAAATGTGTTCCTGTATTGTAATGAATCACGGTTTAAGTCGATGGTTACTGTCGACCACTATTATTTTCAGTAATTGTTTTATCATCACCCGACCGTTAATTTTCCCCTTTGAATTGTTTCACATTTTGTCATCCCTGAACCACGTATAGCTTACAGTATGCTCGGACTATACGGTATAGATTATGCTCATTGTTGAAGGTCGTATGGTGCCATCCTTGGTCTTTTGTCTTAAGTGGATAGTTGTATCATTATCATACCACATCTCCTAATTCTATACTGAGATTTGCTAAAATGACTCCATGACTCGGGGTCTTTTATATTTGACTATACCGTATGACTTTTTTCATTATTGAAGACCTGCTATGACCTATAGTTGCTTAAATACGCGTCATTTGGACTATGATGGATAGTTGTCTCATTGGTAATCATATCACGCCTCCTAATTCTACACTAAGATTTGCTAAATTGACTCCATGACTCGGGGCTTTTCATATCTGACTCTGCAGTTTGGGTTTAGTTCATTATTGAAGGCCGCGCGAAGACCTCAACAGTCATGTAGTTGCTTAAATCCACGTCATTTAGACTCTATTGGATATTCGTCTCGTTGACAATCATACCACATCTCCTTATTTCATATTCATGGCAAATAAAACAGCTGAAATTTACGAATATATAGTCCTCTAGGTTATTATAAGTAGAGTTGAATGTTGCTGTTTAAAGTTTTAAAGATGTTCGCTACTCTGTTTCAAAATAACAAGCTTTTTAAAAGACTGTTATAAAATGATAGTATATAAATAACGGAACTAAAAAAGCCGAAAAAAATGAAGGGTCCGTGTGCTTGTTTTCGAGATATAAGCCATTGAAAATTTGGCGGGAAATTATTCTCTCTAGATTTTTCATACATATTACATTGGCTCCTTTTTTCTTTCAAAAACTATGAAAAAATAACAAGGATTTTATACGATTATAAATATGGCTTTTTAAACTATTTGTTATAAAATTTAGAAAAGAAAAGTAGAGGTTAGTGGGCAAAATTTTTAATGGCACTAGATGGATAAAACTAGAGGATTCCGAATATCTGGCAAAAAATCAAAAACAAGAGAAGCGGGCATCCCTAAGAAGATTTATGGATGCTGATGTTTTGGATACTGTTGAAGTATATTTGATCAATTTACGAGTCAAAGGGCGACAATTCAATTTCAATCATGAACATGAGAGGCGAAAAATACCAAACTCAAATTGTAAATTAGGATAAACAAAAATTGTACTAAATTTTATTTTAGGAATTTATGTTATAAAAAGGCCATATGTCTTTTAAAGAGTTAAAATTGGGAATTTCCTAGTACATTTCCATGTATCATTTCAAAATAACGTTTCTCTTGTGAAAGAGTCTTGACATAAACGATATTTGACATTATTGCTATTACTCTAGAGCTAACTACATGATTTCTTAAAACTTAAAAAAAACATAGGTTTATATGTTGATTTTTTTTTATTACTTAATATTTAAGTACATGCATGTATTTCATTACATGTATCGGGTCAACATCCGCGTTGTAGACACTGGTATATTATCTGCATTTTGTGTAATTCTTTAAATAGTAATTCCGCTTACAAATCGGTTTAAATCATCCGGGATTAGGCAATGTCAGCGTACGAAGTTCGTTATTATTAATTAATGTGATTTTGTTGAAACTACTGAAAAGTAAGTTGAGGCTAACTTTTTTAAATTTGTATTACTTAGTATATATCATAGGTTATAGGTTGAAGGGCTATGGAGATGTTAAATATATAGCATATTACAATTCACCGTACATTTTCAAAATTTTAAGTTCGAGATTCTAAAGAAAACCGAACTGAAAATTACCTACATTCATACTGAAAGGCACGCTCACGTAAATAGCAACCTCTTTTTGATTATTTGATCATTTTCATTTTTCAGACATGTTGATCATACAATATATATTTGTAATATTGGTTAAAATTCTATAAAGAAATGAATAGAGTTTTAAGAACGTTTTTTTAAAGAAAGAAGTTTATAGAAGAAATAATTAAAATTACTTTATCAATTTTCTTCTGACCTATTTAAAATCAGTAATGTTTTATTTTTTTCTGCTTAAAAGTGATGCTATGAAATACCAAGAACCCATATGAAAACTTTAAAAGATCAAATCTCCCAACCTCTTTGTAACGTCTCCCTGTCTTTTTGATTTGTAAATGTCTTAAAAGACAGGCGAAAGATACCAAAGGGACTTTTAAACCCATTAAATGACCAATAGGACAAACAACAGCAAACTCCCCAGCAGTTCCAGCTCCGATCCGCATACTATTGATAGAGTAAAGGAAAACAGTTCCGGAACGGAAACGATCACTGTACGGAGTTTGAAACAACAAAATAGAAAACACAACATAGGAAACTAAAGACTTAGCAACACGAGCCCCACCAAAAACCGCGGGGGAGTCTCAGGTGTTCAGGAAGGGTAAGAAGATTCTGCTCCACATGTGACACCCTAATCATCAGTACCATTTATATATACTCATATTCTTCTAAAAATTATATCAGACATGATAACTATTTATAAAGCTAACGACATGATTTATTTTTCACAACTTCATTTACATAGGCATGTGTTGATTTCTCTTATTTAAATATTTAAGGAAGTAGTCATGTCAGGTTTAGGAATTTTTGTAAGATGTTCGGATTCCTTGGGTTTTTTCCTACGATACAGGGTAAAATATTTTGCCCCATATCACCCATTTTTCTTTTCATAGAAGATTTCAATAGCTCATAAAAAAGTCATTACCAAAATTTAAGCCGATTATAGAATTTGTTTCTTACGATTTGAGACCCAAATAATGCCAAAGCTAAACATAAGTTAAAAGTCCGAGTCAGCCTTTCCCCGCTATTTTTAAAAAATCAAATATCGCAAGAAGGAGTCCCATAACCTATCAATATTTTAAGCTTATTTTGTTCCTTAACTAATACTCTTCTGACTTATAGTATCAATTTTGAATTCTAGATTTTTTTTTAGTATTATGTAAATTATTAATCTTGATAAAGTGTTTTAGATGCGTGGTTATTTATTGATCTTTTTTTTTTACATTGTAGGTAATTTGTAGAGACACAGACGATGCCGCGTTTAATTATCATTATTGCCATCACAATTTTGTTCCTCGACATTGTCGTCTCCAGACCAAGGCTTAAGGTAAACCATTATACTGTTTTGCTGTGCTGTGCATTTCCTGTGATGTAAGATCTCAGTTAAGATCAAGTACCAGTAATTAGGCTATGTCAAAGATTTTGGTAAAATTTCGCATACAACTTTGGCTCGTTGAACTATAACTGAAAATCGAAAACAAATTCATTTATCACTTCTTTTATTATGAACTTAGATTTTATGATTCTAAGACAAATTTAAGAACGTTTCACGCCGATATTATGTGCCTTCTATACAAATGTTCACCTTTTTAAAAATAATTCAATCAGTAATATTTCAGAAAATAAAAGACATACATGCATTATTTTTTTTCCATTTTCAGTTATAGTGCAATGAGCCTAAGTTTTATGCAAAATTTTAGCAAAATCTGAGACATAGCCCATTTACTGTAACTTGACCTAAACAAACATCATACAACGCGTTTTCAGCTGACCATTCGTTTATTGTGATTTTTTCTATAAAATCTGTATTTTCAGCTCTTTATCGTATGTTTTGAATTACAAACTTTTTTAAATCATGCATATAATCACTTTGAATCGAAAATTCACATGCTAGTATACATTCATCCCATACGTACGATCAAGTAATGGTTTTGCAACTTCCAAGTTCAAAGAGGCCTTAAACTCAGGCACTAGCAAGTATTTCCAAATATTTATTGTGGTCCTGGCGTATAAATTTCTATACGATTTCTTTTTTGAAACCGATTGCGTCAAAGTTGTTGGTCTACCAGGATTTCAATTTGTTTTGTAAGACATGTTTTCTAATTCAATAGAACAGTGTATGCCTGGTCAATTCACGATTACATGCGTAAATAGGCGGGTTTTGTAATGATTAAATAAACTCATCATAGATACCAGGATTGCAATTTTGTACGCCAGACGCGCGTTTCGTCTACAAAAGACTCATCAGTGACGCTTGAATGTAAAACAGTAAAAAAGTCCGCACCGAAAAAATCAATTTGCCGATAAAAAAAAATGAAGTTATTGTGAAAAGAACTGTGATAAGGTAACCAAATATTGTTTGCTCATATCATATAAACAAAATGTACTCTATTGAAAAAAACAAACTTTTAACCTATTTTTTCGTGGTTTCTATTTCTTTGATACTTTAATTTACTTTTAGCTTACTTTAAGGACGAGTTTTTGTTTTGTGCTTGGTACTGATCTATTGAGTTAAGCTATTTTTGTGCTGTTACACAACTGTCCCAGGTTATGGGGAGGATTGAGCGCTCAAAAACATGTAAAACTCCGCCACATTCTTTATGTATGTGCTTGTCTCAATTCAGGAGCCTTGTTTCACATTTTTCATGTCGGAGCTACAATAGTTGACGCGATATTTGTTCTGTTATGTTGTCTACTTGATCACTATATTCCCAATCTTACCAAGGCTCTTTGTAAAAATATAGACAAATATTATGCCTACCCATGTTAGAATGCGCATAGAGCATGACAAGATAGAATTGTTTCGATTTTAAACAGAAACTTCAGAACTCTTTTTGTTCAAAGTGCACTTATAAGACTCGTTCGAAAGTCTGTCATTTGATTGTAGTGCATTAGTCTCTTTTCGGTCTTCAGTTATACCAAAGATTCCGCGGTGTGCTTCCTTCAGGAATTTTTTCAACGCCCTAAATTAACTTCTGCTGACACGACCAATATGATTTCCCGCCAAAATTAAATGATTGATTAGTGTTTAATAAAACGCAAATAATCTAAGAATAGAAATATTACTATAAGTCTATAAGGATATAACAAAGATAAACAAAATTTCATAGATACATCATTCAGATTGATCACGGGAAGAGGTAATAATGAGTTATGTTTCAAACTATTGAGCCTACTGGCAACACATTTTGTTGAAACTTTTCTTGGCGGTATTTCTCTTTCAGAACATATATATTTATTTTGAATAGTACCTCTTGAAAAGTTTTGTATTTTTAAGTCCGTGTGATAGGTCGTAGCCACCAGTATAATCGAAATGCATTTTTATAATTCAGAGAGACCCTGACTTTGAACCAATACATCTCTTTGTTGATAAACTGGACGATGGAGAAAATTATGGCAATAATGGCGAACAACTGCCAGTGGCTGGCTCTGCTGAACAAAATAATATAGATACGCCAATACGTTACGATGACGGCCCTTTGTACCCACGTGATATCCGGGTAAGTGGCCCAGCAGATGATAACAATTTAGCCAACAATGACGAAACTCGTTTGCAGATGGACAATGGTGGGTTATACCCAAGTAACTTGCAAACGAATGAAACGGACGAAAGCAAATTAAATGAAACAAAAGAAAAACCTAGTACCGAAGCTCCTGTACGAATTGATGATGGACCACTGTATCCAAATGACAATCAGTTGCAGCATGTCGAGCAAAACGAAAATACTGACCCAAACTATAATGAAACCCCGACACGGTTGGATAATGGTGGATTGTATGATGACCTTGAGCTAAACAGGCCAGAAAATCTAGAGTTAGATAATGAGAATAAAGATCTTAATCAAGTAGGCGATGACACGCGTGTTCAGATAGACAATGGTGGGTTATACCCAAGTAACTTGCAAACGAATGAAACAGACGAAGGCAAATTAAATGAAACGATAGAACAACCTAGTACCGACGCTCCTGTGCGATTTGATGATGGACCACATTATCCAAATGATAATCAGTTGCAGCATGTCGAGCAAAACGAAAATACTGACCCAAGCTATAATGATACGCCGACACGGTTCGATAATGGTGGATTGAATGCTGACCTTGAGCAGAATAGGCCAGAAAATCTAGAGTTAGATAATGAGAATAAAGATCTTAATCAAGTCGGCGATGACACGCGTGTTCAGATAGACAATGTTGGGTTATACCCAAGTAACTTGCAAACGAATGAAACAGACGAAGGCAAAGTAAATGAAACGATAGAACAACCTAGTACCGACGCTCCTGTACGAATTGATGATGGACCACATTATCCAAATGATAATCAGTTGCAGCATGTCGAGCAAATCGAAAATACTGACCCAAGCTATAATGATACGCCGACACAGTTCGGTAATGGTGGATTGAATGCTGACCTTGAGCTGAATAGGCCAGAAAATCTAGAGTTAGATAATGAGAATAAAGACCTTGATACAAATCAAATCAGCGAAAACGAAAATTCAGATGCGGAGAATAACATGGATGTGGACAATGATTCGAATACGGACAAGTCCAACGAAAATGATAATAACGAAGATATTCATTCAAGCATCACTGACATTTATGGTGATGAAGTTGACAAGGTCGAAAATGATGACATTGATTCAAATGCTGATGATTTCAACGGAATGCGAATGAAAAGATTTATAAACCAATTTGAGGAAGATGATGAGTTGATTGATTCAAATATCGATGACGATAAGAATAACGATATATCTGGTAATATCGATACAAATGCATCCGATCTAAATGACGACGGGAATAATAGTATTGACAGTGATATTGATCTAAATGCGGACGTGTCAGATGTAGACGATACGAATAATTTCAAGGTAGACGATACGGAAAATTTCGATGAAGACGATATTGGTGATTCTGATGAAGATGATATCGATGACGATAATATCGATGACGATGATATCGATGAAGATGATATCAATGTAATTGATATCGATGAAGATGATATCAATGAAAATGATATCGATGAAGACGATACTGATAATTCCAATGAAGAAGATAATGATACCGAGCCTAAATAAAGATTGAATATAATCAAAAATAATGACAATTAAATAGGAAACATGAGTGAAAATATGTGAAAATATTCCTTTCTTTATCTGTCTTTGTTTTTGACAAAAACAGCTGTTGTTCGTATGTGTATTAGAATTGATAACACATATAAAGATGATGCAGAAGTAAACTTTTAAATTTTCACATTAAATTTTTCACAAAACAGACATCGGTGTCATATTTTTGTTTAGTTTTTTTTTTTTTTTTTTTTTATTCTTAAGTATTTATTTCATTTGAACCCGTTTGACTAAAGATGATAAGGATCTAATAGACGAAATGCTTTCTTAATATTATTTTATAACTCTAAAAATGTTTCATTTCTTAAAGATTCTATTAGAGTTATCTTTCCTAGAACTAGAAAATTTAAGTGTAACGCTTCAAATTTTTTTTTTTTCTCTTTTTTTATTATCTTATTGTTTCAAAAATTTTGGTTTTTATAAGTTAAAAATACCTAATAGTATCTTTATTTGTTTATTTATTTTGTTAAGTATGCTAGGTATATCGCTTAAACTTCTTTTCTATAAACAAGTGTCTTCATATAGGTACACAATATGTTGCCACCATTTGTTTAAAATCATCGACTAATTACATTATTGATACATAGTGACCTGCTGTTATTTTTGTCAATTATTCACTAAAGCCATTATACCTCTTATCAATATTATAGTACACTGAGAACAAAAACTAGAATTCCTATGTAACCTCGTATGTAATAGCGTATCGATAGAGTTTACCGAGTAGAGTATTATGGGCAAAATATAGAAAATGATGTGCCAAAAATCAAGAATAGAGAGTAATGGGCACATAAAAAACAAAGAAAAAAGAAACATGGTAACAAAATTAACAATACAGAAATAATGTACCCCCATCCTGATCCTAATATAATAGTGTACGAAAATAATTTACCCTCTGGGGCATCTTACACAACATGTTACATATATATACCCTTTCTTGCTGCTTCATCCGAGATCCTTATGCAACAACGAAGAGATCTAAATTAAATTCTTACAAGATTAACCTTTTCATCTCTTTCGTCAACATCTAGGCTTTTAATGTAGAGGACAATAATAATGTTATACCATTATATCAATATTTCCACAATTTATACAGTACTGTGCTATCCAAGGAAACGCCGAAATCAAGGATCATCCTTTTTGCAGAGTTTATCATTCAGAAAAGGGTGATGAAAAACAAGGCAGGAAAATAGTGTAACAATGATCCTTAGGGCAAACTGTGCAATATTTAAGATAATCAAACAATAACTTGTTGTCCAAAAGTGCCTTCCAATACATAAAGATCTTTATTTTAAACGTTTACTCTGCTTTTTCGTACTGTTAAGAAATGATTTAAACTTAATTCCAAATATTTCATATAATAATTTGAAACGTTATGTTAATTTGGCTTTGTCATTACCACAATTATTTCTTCATACTGTCGAGAAGTCGGAATATATATCAAATACTTGAAAAATATCCATCTGTTTTCAATGTTGTCAATCATATAATGGACGTTTTCGTTGTCGTTAAACAGAGTGTTATGGCGCTGGCTCCAGTCGCCAGCAGTCTAATGGTCGTTACAAATATCCATTTATAATTTGTTATTATAAGATAAGTTTACGTGTAATGGTAATTTTCTACATAAAGTTCCGTATAATTGACCATGAAGGCAAGTATATAATTAAGTATAATGTTTGTTTACTGAGGAGAAGTCGTGTGGTCACTGTGACTCCTCTTTGGTTACACAAAACAAACTGACTTGACATTGTGACGCCTTCTTCACATTCCAATGTTCAACGTGTCGTTGAGACTACAGATTCACATGCCATCCGAATATATTGTAAGATGTATGCATTTTAGACAGCAACCCAAAAGACGCAAAAATAGCATTTTGCAAATGTTATGCTTCCGAAAGAGCTTTTCTGGATTTACCGTTACAAGTAACTAAGATATCCAGATGTTTACATTTTACATATATAGTCTGAAACATTAGACAAGTGTTTGTGCATGCAAGGTGTATAGCTTTATATCCCTTGAGGTCTAGAATAGTTGTGAGTAAATTCAGAAACGAATATACAAAATTTTCCTTTGAACCCAATTTCTCTCAAGGTCGACAAGAAAACTTTTAAATGTGACGTGTTTTATGACTTGAAATATGCACATAAGACATGAGGGTGGTTAATCTATTTTTTGGTAGCACTCGACTATTAAGCTTTACCACTCGACCCTATAGGTTTATCCCTCAAAACTGAACCATTAACACACGACCCTGTAACTTTACCAATCGACCCTGCAGGTTTATCCTTCAAACCTGTACCATTAACACACGACCCTGTAACTTGACCACTCGACCCTGTAGGTTTATCCCTCAAATCTGTGCCATTAACACACAACCCTGTAGTTTTATCACTCGACCCTGTAGGTTTATCCCTCAAACCTGTACCATTCACACACGACCTTGTAACTTTACCACTCGACCCTGTAGGTTTATCCCTCAAACCTGTACCATTAACACACAACCCTGTAGTTTTATCACTCGACCCTGTAGGTTTATCCCTCAAACCTGTACCATTCACACACGACCCTGTAACTTAACCAATCGACCCTGTAGGTTTATCCCTCAAACCTGTACCATTAACACACAACCCTGTTGTTTTATCACTCGATCCTGTAGTTTTATCACTCGACCCTATAGCTTTAACCCTCGACCCTGAAGTTTTATCACTCGACCCTGTAGCTTTATCACTCGACCCTATATTTTTATCACTCCACCCTGTAGCTTTATCACTTGACCCAGTAGTTTATCACTAGACCCTGTAGTTTTATCACTAGACCCTGTAGTTTTATCACTCACCCCGTAGCTTTATCACTCGACTCTGTAGTTTTATCACTCGATCCTGAAGCTTTATCACTCAACCCTGTAGCTATATCACTCGACCTTGTAGTTCTATCACTCGATCCTGTAGCTTTATCACTAGTTCATGTACCTTTATCACTCGACCCTGTAGCTTTAGCACTCGACCCGGTGTAGCTTTATCACTAGACCATGTACCTTTAGCACTCGACCCGGTGTTGCTTTAGCACTCGACCCTGTACCTTTAGCACTCGACCCGGTGTTGCTTTAGCACTCGACCCTGTACCTTAGTCACTCAACCCTGTTCCTTTAGCACTCGATCCAGTCCCTTTATACCTAGATCTGAGTTATAATTGAAAAATACATAGAAGAACGGACATTAAAAACTGTTAAGAAAAAGCATTTAACTCTATAATACATGTACATGTAGAGTCGGAGTAACTGTTGGAAAGTATTTAACCTTGTGATTGAATCAATCTAAATCACTCCAACAATGCAGTATACTGTAAACAGCAGCGCCATAACAGTTCAAGAAAGCACGCCGTATCGTATTGTGAATGGTAAAAGAACTGGTCCATGACATTTTCTTATCATTTGCATTCGTCGTCCGTCCGTATTACATAAATGGCAATAGTAGCTTGACGCTGTTAAAATCAAGATAAAAACCCTGAGGAAACCACATAAGCATTAAACGAAGCGAGACTGGTGCGTCGACTGGGTAAGCGAGTCCTGCTATGCATTTATTCCCCGCCATGAGTATCTACAATCAGCCAAAATGTTACAATTGGGAATAGAAAACAATCGGTAAATTTGCAGATCAGATTATTCAGGTATCTGTATATATATAGATCTCAGACCATGAAAAAAGGTGAGTTGAGCCAGAGACACATCGTATCGGTCAACCAATTCGTGATGGAGACCGTAAAACTTAGTAGTACCGATTGTAGTCGTTCTTCCTCGTAGCCATGGTGGAGCAGTTTTGTATAAGAAGCACGTACAACTCAGTTAATGGAGTAAAAGGTTAATGTCCGTAAACAATTAGTTGAGCGATATAGTTGCCTAGGACATGATGTAATTTCGTGTCTGGTAATAAAGGTATACATAATGGTAGCTCCTTTATCTGTATTTCCCGGGGTCACCACTATATACTATTTTAGGGGGGGGGGGGGGTGAAGACCGTACTGTGAACTTAATGGTTTACTTTTATAAATTTTGACTTGGATGGAGAGTTGTCTCATTGGCACTCATACCACATCTTCCTATATCTATACACAGTAGTCATGTAAATGACTTGTTCACTTATACAGTCTGGTGTCAGACTAAAGGTTATACTTGAAGGGGGGATGATACGCTTTTGGGGTGTGGGATATAGGGGATAAAAAAAGTTCGAATGTGGGATATAAAGGATAAAAAAGTGGAGATGTGGGATTAAGAGAGTAAAAATGTCTGGATGTGGGATATAGTGGGAAGTGGGACAAAATTACAATAAGCAGGATCTGGGAAATGAGAAACCCCTTGTCACCCCCTTTACTTGATCGAAGAATTCAACAAACTCACGCTTTGTCCACTAGCATTTGAACGCAGTGTGCAAAAATCTTACAAACAGTAGTCAGGTTATCTGTCTATTAAAATTCTGCTTATCTATTATCGTATAGTATATAGTGGTGACCCCGGGAAATACAGATAAAGGAGCTACCATTTGGTTTTTAGAGAGGGGGGGGGGGGGGTGAAATTTGAAAAAAAAGGCAGGACAGGATATTTGAGTAAAAAAAAAGGGCATGATGAGCAACTTTGCCAAAAAAAAGGCAGGATGACAATTTATGTTAAAAAAGTCAGGATAAACTAATTTAAAAAAAGGCAGGACCGAATAGAGTGAAAAATAAAAAGGCAGGACAGAGATTACAACTTAAAAAAAAATGCAGGACATAATGTTTCATCCTAGCCCCCTCCCCCCCCTTCCATAAAAATCAAATAGTAGCTCCCTAAAGGCTAAATGCATGCTGTTTCACATGTGAAAATGTTATCAATCTTTTTATTAAACTATAAAATCGCACGATTTAGTAAGAATAACCAAACAGTTGTAATTATGAAGTCATCTTATAATAGTTATTTCATAAAGTTATATCTCATTTTCTGTTTAATTAGTACATGTACATCCTATGGCTTTGATCTTTTTAAAAAACGTTTTTTAAACCGCGTCTTTGCCATAAAAGATGTTATTATGATAAAAAAAAACATAACATAACTGATTTAACAACTTATGTTTAGTCAATATTGCTACTTAATTCTTTATCTTAATTCAGGCAAAAAGCAATAA